AACAACAACAACAACAACATAGCTCACCTAGAGCATGGAAGGCCTGGAAATTTACTCTCCCCAAAGCAGCCGTTGAAAACCATAGGAGTGGAGTTCTATGCTAACCCACATGGGGTTTCTTTCATCAGATGGAATCAATTCTATAGCAGCTGCGTTTTCCCTTGGATGGTGACGAGGGGTGCTTAAAGTTTACGGAGCTCCCAGGGGGTTGAAGGGTTGCCTCTCTGTTAGCTGGTTGCAAGGACCTTTTTGTTCCTTTTGAGTCTAGATGGACATTCTCAAATGGCTTTTGGTCAGATGTCCATGAATACCACCCTTATTCTGTGGCCCATGAGGCAAATAATTCTGCTGCTTGCAAGATTTTTCAAGGGCTTCTTCAACTGCTACCATGAAAGCTTTGCTGCCGAACTTCAGCCTAGGAAATTGTCTACTTTCTGAGTGACAATTCTACCATCTTACTATAATGTTTTCTTATTCCTGTGATAGCCGCCTGCCTTGTAACCTTGACTTTCAGTCCTATTTCTTGATAGTCCTATTTCGTAAACTAAGTTTGAAGCACCCAGACCGAGGAGATGCTACACTGATGGTTATTTATTAACAGGCAAGCCTGCCTTCATAACAGCCAGGCAGTCACTTAACAGCTGAGCAAGAATAAAAGGCTCCTTGTGCATTTAAAGCAGAGGCTACAGGTCAGATGATGTCCCTGGATGGTACCTATGGTTAATATACTTGGCTACTATGCCGTCTACTCGCAGCTGCGTTGGAAGAAAGATCTGGCAATCTAGTTGTGAAAAACCTGCCATCGAAAACCCTATCGAGCGCAGGCAGACTTGATGGCAGCTGTTCTTGTTCTTTTTGTAATGGGGTCAGATAGATTTGGATTTGGATGATGGTTTCGTCCCTTACTGCGAAATCTTGTCAATGTTCCTGGGAGCTTCTAAGCCATAGTTTCCGTGTGTGGAAAATCGCCATGCCAAGAATAACTCCCTCACAAATTGAGACAATGCATATAAATAAAGCGCCTAGTAAAATGGCTGGGGTAGGGTGGCTCTGTGTAATATGCATTGGGCAGCTAACCATAACGTCAGTGGTTGAAACGCAGAAACTGCTTAGTGGGGGAAAAGATGAGGCTGTTTACGCTAGTAAAGATTTACAATCCCAGAAACCCCATTACAAGGTCGTTGTGAACTGGAATCCACTTCATGACAACGGACTTTGTTTTATTAGCATTATTATTATTTAACATTCTACCGAGGCAGTGAAAAAGAGGGTGACCTTGGCAAGGATGGTGCAGGAGCGGACGGTGGTTTGTTCCGTTGTACATAAAGAGGGTCACTCTGAGTCGGATGGACCCCCTGGTACCTGAAAACAACCGCAGCAGCAGCCATGTCTCAGGTGGGTTTGGGGCTGGCACCGTGGCAGCCATGTTGAGTGACGCTCCCTAGAATTAAGTTATGGGGACAAATCGCTCAGCAAAGGCTTTCGAGGACCAGCCAGGGAGGCCAAAGGCATGGCCTTCAAGGCAGACACCATATATACACCCAGCAAGTCCAAGGGCCTCAAGATGCTTAGTTCATAAAACAGATGACAGAAGGACGGATGCGACGGTTGCTTCAGGTCGTCTTGACCTGGATGAATGAGAGGTCTTCTATGGCATCCTGAAACCACGAA